TCTCCCCCCATCATCATCATCATCATCATCAATCTACCCGTGCAACCCCCCTTTTTAACCCTACCTAGTACTACTAGCCAATCATCGAATCATAGATAGGATCGCCCCGCCCTCGATTTTCTTCATTAGTCATTTATTCCCTTCCTTATTTTTATTTTTATTTTTCCCTCTTTTTCAGAATTCATTCGAAATTCTTGTAATTCGAAAATACTTAATTAATTATTTGTTCGACATTTCTTTTTCAAAATCTGAAAATATGTTCTTTTTCTAAATTTTCAAAAATACGTAGAATTAATTATTCTTTCTTGGCATTTCTTCCTCAAAATTCGAAAGTAGTTTTAATTAATTCTTTTTTGATTTTTTTGTAATTCGTGCAAGGAAGATGAGCAATAGCGAACCTCAGCAATCAAACAGCATCATACACATGAGACCAGATAGTCGTGACCTCGAACCAAAAGCAGAATTGCATCACGAGTTTCGCCAAATAAGAGCACCCCAAAAGCTCATGATTGACAATGCTGGAATAGTCTCATCATCATCAATCGAAGAACCAATGTTGATATCCTATCTGCCGCATGGCGCCCAGACTACGAATGGCAGATCCTATCTAGCCTAGACTACAATGCCACTGATGACGTCAACAGCTTCCCAAGTACGAGCAGACCTCGTCCAATGCCGCACGCGTCAAGCACCAGGTATGTCTCTCGTATCACTCACAACCTCGTTCCCCAACTCACAGATGCCACTTGCACCCAAGGACCACCATGCACCCCATCCAGCATACAGCAGCGCAGCTCGGCTATGGCTGCCTGCTCCTTCCAGCTCGCCCGTGAGCGCGTGAGCCTGGCAGGCGATAGCGCAGCAGCTCTTGCGCACAAAGCAGCCAGTGCCCGAATGCCCAATGTGTGGGCAGGCCCTTCCCTATATAGAAGTGGCCTGCTGCTGGGTGCCATGCTGTGGTACTTGGGCCCGGTCCAGAAGCTTCCGGTAGGCCCAGGGAGGCTGAGCCGCAGTCCGAAGGAAACAGGCCCAGGGCCTGAGGCGGTTACCAGCACCCAACTGCCCTCAGCCTTTGTTCGGTCCACTTTGTGTATCCGGCCCAGGACCTGCCTTAGGCAAGGACCCCACAGCTTTGCGGATGGAAAAGTGGTTTGCCCACGAAAAGCAGAGGAAAGTACTTTTTCCGGGACCCCGTAGCAGAGGACCAAATGCGCTTGGAAAACCCTTTGGAAATCAGTTGAGCCAATCGTTGCCTGTTTCCGTTGGCACTCGTTTGTTTTGTTCTTTTTTCCTTTATTTTTTTGTTTTTTTTTTGTGGCACTCTTCATCTCTATTGGCTGCTGCCTTTTCCGAGACTTTTCCAGGAACGACATGCCCTCCCCCCTACCCTCTAGAGTCGGCACAAAATTGCGGCGAGGAATCCTCCCGTGAGACTTTTCCAGGCCGCGGGCTATCTGAAAACACAAAATGATGTTTTTCCAAGCCGCAATCTTCGGTCTGTGGGGTCCTGGAAAAGGTCTTGCGGAAGAAATTTCATCTTTTCTAGGACATTTGCGGCAGGCTGTGGGGTCCTGGAAACAGTTTTGCGGCAAAGTTTTTCCTTTCCGCGGTCCTGTGGGGTCCTTGCCTTAGTTACATGCAATGAAAGGCAGCCTGGGCCTGGGTGCTTCCAACCAACTGGCGCTGCACAACTGCCTGAATTTCCCCAGTTGCGTGGTGACTCTGAAATGGCCTGTAGGGCCTCGGTCGTGCCTGCCTTCACTTAGGGCGGCTGACTGTGTGAAAATTGGGCCCTGTAGGGCATATCGAGGCCCTATGCCTCGCATTCGAAAATATTTTAGAATTAATTAAATTCTTTTTCGACATTTCTTTTTCGTATTTCGAAGATACGTTCGAATTAATTAATTCTTTTTTGACATTTCTGCGAGGCACAAGGCCTCGGTAAGCCCTACTGGACCCTGTTATCAGCAAGGTCGGCCGCCTTAAGTGAAGGCAGGCCCGACCTA